TATCCTCCTGGTTCGGTGCAGGCTGATGCCTATCTGCCTGGTTCGGTACAGGCTGGTACCTATCCGCCTGGTTCGGTACAGGCTGGTACCTATCCTCCTGGTTCGGTGCAGGCTGGTACTTATCCTCCTGGTTCGGTGCAGGCTGGTACCTATCCGCCAGGTTCGGTGCAACTTGGTGCCTATCCACGTGGTTTTCTGGAGCCCAGAGCAGATGAGCATGGTTTGGGGGCACCCCATGGACCTGATCAGCAAGATTTGTTACCACCACTCACAGAGCGTCATGATTTTTTACCATCACAAGTGGATGCTTCACGTTTGATGTTATCACGCCCATATCAGCAAGGTGTGGCACCTCCTGACAGAGCTCAAGATGATCAGGTACCATCACTCCCAGCTCATCCAACTCTGACACAACCAGGTATAGACCAAGGCGATTTGGTTCCACAGCCAGATCAACAGCCTTCAGTACTATCTGGTCCAGAACAGAGTGGTCCTGCATATCCTGGCTATCGTCCAAGGCTCCAGGGTACAGCTCAGCACAGCCAGGTAGGTTTGTATCCATCTCAACCTAGGATTCCTGCCCAGACTGACTCAGTCCGGAATATTAGCAGGACACAGTTTCCTGGCATTCTCTACTCTTTAGAGAATGCTGAAGATTATAGTCAGCGGCGCAATTCTCTGGATAAATTGACTCCAAGCTTTCCCATGGCAGTGGAGACATTTCGTCTGATGGGAGAGATCGTGGGTCTCTATGTGGAGCTCAAGGAACACATAAACGATCTGGATGAGGAACAAGCTGGCCAAACGGACTTAGAGAAGATACAATACATGATTGCACTGATGGGTGGGTACCATTTACACATGGAGGGGAGACTACTGTCTTAGTCTAAACTGATTGTATCCTTTCCTAACGGACTCCATTTCTGGCTTCTGGGCTTCTTCCCAAGTCCCTAAAGACAGTGTGTCCAGTCTTAGTCATTCTGGGTTCTCCTCGAGCTCTCCGGGTCCAAATGCAAGGTAGGCAGAGGAGGCAATCAAAGAAGCAGGATTGAAGTAGCTTCAGGAGAAGAATGAAGCTGGTTCATCTGTTCTTGTTGCATTTGCTGGCAAAAGGGAAAACAATAGCATTAGGGGAGAGGGAAATGGGAATGTTGAGGAAAATAGTAAAGTTTTTATAAGTGGGTGGAAATGGCAGACCAGTAACCCCAAGACTAGTTAGGATACCAAGCCTTAGGTAGAGTTTTTATGGACTAAGGATACTCCTTTCTCCCTTCTTTTCGTCCCCTTTCCCCCAGTCACCAGGATGAGCAAGATAAAAGATACATGCTATTGTCATTGATGATGGGATTGGAAATGGAGATTGGGAGGCCACTGAACATCTAACCCTTCTGACAATAAGTTCCCCATTTTCCATAGTCAAAAAGAGCATACCGCCTGACCTGCAGGAACAGATGAAGAGCGTGAAGACCTTAGCTAAAGAAGTTCGGCAGGAAAAAGCAAAGGTAAGGAAGGAAGGGCCGGCCTACTTTATCCTTTAGTGCGCACTCACGTTTAGCTGTGTTTTGAGGTTTACGGTCGTTTCCCATAAGATAAAGATCCCTCATCGGATCTTTATAGTTCTGTCAGGTAGAAAACGTACCACAGGTGCCATCGTGTGCATTTCCTGGATCTAAAATCTGATGCTCAAAGCTTTTACGATTCAGCTGAATCAAATAATGAGGTCTTGATTCTTTTCATTACATGGAGCCATTTCTAATAAAAGCTCACTGTCATAGGAGTGGCCTGGGAGCTGACCTTGTTTTTCTAAGAGTTGGGATTCCTAGAGCTTCAGCCAGCCTTTAATTCCAACTCTCAGTTTCCATGGAGTCCTGGTGTGGCGCTGTAGGAGAACCACTCGACCTCAAAGTTGGTTTGAACCACAAGGTTGGCGGTTCATACTCACTAGCCACTCCTCAGAAACCCCCTATACAGGGTGGCTACGAGTGGGAACCGACTTGACGGCACTTAACAACAACAACTTCCATGGATTCCTGGTGTGACACTATAGGATTAGCACTGAACTGCAAATCACAAGGTTGGCGGTTCAAACCTACCAGTTGCTCCTTGGAAACTGTAAAGAGGGTCGCTATGAGTCAGAACCAACTCGATGGCCCTTAACAACAACAATCTACTTTCAGGGGTACTTACAAGATAGATGGATGGATGGATGAAAGGATAGGTGGGTTAGTGGCTGGGATGGATGTTAGGAGGAGATCTCAACAGTAGAGAACTCAGGCCTGCCTGACCCTCTTTTCCATTGAATTTGTAGCTGGACAGGATGCAAAAGATCCTGGAGGGTGAAGGGGCACGAGAAACGGGGAAGGAGATAAAAACTGGCCAGCTGGGCTTACAGCTGGGCATCCTCAGGTAATACGCCCCTGACAAGTGCAGTTGGATCTTGTCATCCCCTTCCCTCAGCCATGGACATGACAGTAGCCTTGGTTCACTTTTGCCCCCGAACTGACCACTTCTTCAGATCACTCATATCCAGTCCAAGAATCATATGGTGCTTTTCCATTTTCCTAAAGGAGCCCGGCACCAGGCTAGGAAAACCAAAAGTTCCTTAGACTTTATCTCAGTTCTCAGTTGGAAAAGAGCACTTACCAGCATCCATCAGAACCCAGTTCTACCTGCTAGAACCTTCTGGAACTAATGCACTGGGCAGCCACTTCTAGGAAACAGGCGGAGCATGGGGCTTCTGGATGCAGGCTATTGAGGGTGATGCTAGAACCCCATCTGCATCCTCCTCCATCCCTGATGGCGAGATCTAGAACTGTGTCTAGTGTCCCTGGGCTGGTGAGGAGGCCAAGCAGTCTCTTGTGTTCCACAGAGTCACCGTGGCTGACATTGAGAAAGAGCTGGCTGAGCTGAGGGAGAGTCAAGAGCAAGGTAAAATCAGTATGGAACACTCCGTCTCCGAGGCCTCCCTTTACCTACAGGATCAGGTGAGCACCGTCCACTCTTCTGCTTCAGGGACCAGGGCTGTTCTCAGGGTTGGTGGTGGTCAGTGTGGGCAGCCCTGCCTCCCACCATCAGCAATGACCAGACCCCTGTCTTCCATCTGAGGGGCAGGGTGACCATGTCTGCAATCCAGTCTACTTCTGATCCAAGATCAGCTCTGACACTCACCTGTCATTAACTCTTTCTTTCTTTCTTTCTTTCTTTCCTTCCTTCCTTCCTTCCTTCCTTCCTTCCTTCCTTCCTTCCTTCCTTTCTTTCTTTCTGTTTTAACTTTTTGTTGTGAATTAGATAAAGGTCTGTAGAGCAGATCCACAGTGTTCCATCAGCAATTCTACACGTTGTGTTTCATCTCAGTGACTGTAGTCCCTCACTTATCCCACTTTCTCCTGGCATTTCCTGTTTCCATTCCTCCTCCTCTCCAAACCCTTCTGCTCTTTGTCTTTGGGTAAATGCTGCCCTTTTGATCTCAAATGCTTAATTATCCTAAGATATATGTACCTCCCTAGAGTTTTTGTTCCCCTTCTAAGCCCTGGTATGGTGCTGTAAGACAAGCACTGGACTGAAGGCCGATTTGAGCCACAAGGTTCAAACCCACCAGCCGCTCCTCGGAAACCCTACACACACAGGCTATCTAGGAGTTGGAATAGCAACAACAGACTTGTCTATTGCTTTGCTGAAAATTGAGCTACAGGGTGGGGGTAGGGGTTGGGGGCGGTGAGTGAGTTCAGTTCCAGACCTTAAGGTGACCAGGGCTTCTATTTTCAGATTTTGTATTCTTTCTAATTTTTCATTTATTTTGTCCATTTGTCCTTGTAATGTTTTCCTGAATTCTTCTGAAGTTTTTAACTGTGTTCTCCTTGCTTTCATTAGCAGCTTTCTCGATTTTTCTCTAAATCTGTTGAAGGTACCTAAATATCATTCATTGAATTCCTTTACCAATTCCAATATCTCTTCTTCCTTAGAAACATTTGCTAGCTCTATATCTTGGTAACTTACTGAGCCACTGTGTCTGGTTTCTTTGTGTAAACTGAAATTGCTGTTTGCAAGACATTCTGGTGTTGTATTTGCATTAATTGATGACTGTATTTGGGGACTGTATTGATGACTGGAGTTCTTAGGCACTCACCAACTACCTCCTGGTGGGTGTGAAAAAGAAGGGAAATGTATGCACAGTTCTCTGTTTGCTGTTCATGGAGCTCAGTTCAGGTGGGTTTGGTTGATGTTGGCTTCTGTCTATCACTGATCAGGTGGTAAGCTGGTAGACTGCAGAGATATGGCTGTGACTTGGATGTATGAGCACAGATGCTGTCTCCCTTTAGGTAGGATAAGAAGAAAACATACATACACACAAGAAAAGGAAAAAAAAAAAGTCAAATACACAACTGTGAAAAAGGAAAATAATAAAGGAGAGGCAAAAACAGGCAGCAGCAAGAAAAAAAGAATATAATAACTAAAAACAGAAAAACGGGAAAGAAAAAGAAAATAACAAAAGAGAATTAAAAAAACCCAGTAAACTAAACTAGGGAAAGGGATGTCGACAAGAGAAGAAGATGAGACTAGTGAAAAGAAAAATCTAGAGGAAAAATAAGAACAAAGGAAGGGGAAAAAGAGAAACAGAAGAAATGAAGAAATAAGGTAAGCTGAGAATGAAAGGATAAAAAACTGGGTGAAAGAAAGACAAAAAGGAGAAAAAAGAAAAAGACTAGAGCAGGGGCCGAACACAGGAGAAAACCGTGGGGGGTTCCTGCTGGCCAAGGATCCCACTGGATTGGAGTGGGAGGACCCCTGGATGGAGGAAGTGCCTGTAGGCCTAGGTATTGTCCATATTCAGGTCATTCAATCCAGAAAAAGTTCGTACTGACCAGAAGGAGCTCTTTCAGGCCCAGAGCGCAGCTAGGGGCAGCGTGGTTGGTTATCAGAGATCATGCAAATCTAGGGCTGGCGGGGGACCACCTCCAAGCATCCAGCAGGTCTGAAGAAGCCGAGTGCAGCTGATTTCAAGCACCCAGGTGGTGCCACAGACACCAGACTCACAAGGGTGAGGCTCTGGCCTCCAGCAGAGCAGGAGCTGTGCTGGGGTGGATGAGGGTCTGGGCTGGCCACAACTCAGGTCGCTAGGGGAATGTGGGGAACAAGAGAAAACCGCACTTTTCAAGTCAAAAGTTGTTGGTGTGCATCTGTGGCTTTAGGCTGCAGCTTGAACCCAATGCTGCTTGTGAACATTGAAGATGACCAAGCCAGTTCAGGCCAGCCAACAAACAGTTCATCCTTCTGTCTTCTTTCTTGTCTCCCCTTGTTCAGCTTCTTCTAGTCAGTATTCAATCCACTTTTTCCATCCTTTCCTTTGAAGCTCAGGTTTCCAGAATGATCCTCTATATCTGTTTCATTTAGTTTCTTGTATCTTTGTTGTAGAGGATCTGTGGAGCATATCTGTCTAGTCCACCATTTTGCCGGAAGTCTTCTGGACATATATTTTCACTTCTCTTGTATAAATATATAGGAAATGGGCCAAAGAGTAATCACTTTGCTTAACCATTTGAAGAACTGCCAGACTGTTTTCCAAAGGGGCTGCACCATTTTACATTCCTTCCAGCAGTGTGTGAGGGTTCAAGTTTCTACGAATCTTCGCCATAGCTTGTTATCTCTTTTATTACAGCCTGCTTAGTCGAGGTGAAAGGGTGTCTCATTGTGGGTTTTAATCTGTACTCACCTAATGGGGCTTTAAGAAGCACAGACAAGATGCTCTTTAGAAGTGAGAACACCAGTCTCTGGAGGACACCATACTGGGTAAAGTAGAGAAAGAGTGAAAAAGAAGACCGTCAACAAGATGGATTGACCACAGTAACAGTGGGCTCAGACAATCCAGCGATTGTGAGGATGACACAGAACTGCGCAGTGCTTCCTTCTGCTGTACATCAGGTAGCTATGAGTCAGAACTGACTCAGTGGCACCTAACAACAATAACACTAGGAGCCCTAGTAACGCAATGGTCCAATCACTCAACTGCTAACCTAAAGGTTGGCACTTCAAACCCAGCAGCCACTGTTCAGGAGCAAGATGTGGCAGTGTGCTTTTGTAAAGATGACAGTCTAGGAAACCCTATGGGGCAGTTCTCCATCCTTGTAAGGTTACTAGGAGTCAGAATTGACCTGGTGGCTCAGTTCAATGTGGGAAACCTGGGTTTGATTCCTGGCCATTTCTGCAGAAATGTCTACTCAAATCCTTTGCCCATTTAAAAATTGGAATATTATTTGATTTGTTGAGTTGTAAAAGTTCTTTACATGTGTAGAACATTGGGTCCTTATCTGATACATGACTTGTAAATATTTTCTCCCATTCTGTATGTTGTCTCTTTACTTTCTCAATGGCATCTGCCATTACATCTTAAGTGAGTCTGTTCTTGGCAAGTCCAGAAGGAGTGTCTGAACCAAGAATAGCCTTTGAGCACTCAGAGAAGGACCCAGGGGTTCACATCAGTCCCCACTTTGTGCTAGAGGCCACACTCTGGGTCCCCTCCCAAGTTTACTGGGGCAATAACATATACCGTGTCCTGGCCCCAGGTCCTGATTGCTAGGTTCTGGACTTACAGGGCCGCCGATAGTGTGTGTAAGAGTCACTTGCTGCTCTAAAACACGCCTACTTTCTCTCACTGTTCCTCTTCCTAGAATGTCCTTCCTAACTTATTTTACAAGGCTGGTTTGAACTGCAAGGTCGGCAGTTCAAATTCACCAGCCACTCCTCAGAAACCCTATACAAGGTCACTGAGTCGGAACTGACTTAACAGCACTTAACAACAACGTGTTCTTCAAGAGTCCACTCAAAGGTCCAGTTTTCCAGAAAGTCTCTTCCTTTCTTCTAGAAAGAACTCATTTGCTCCTTTGTATCCCAGGGGCCCTGTGATGTGCTGCTCCGGTGAACTCAGGAAGAAGGCAGAGATGGCAGAAATGTGCACATGTGTAGGGTGTGGGACTTCTAGGCCACAGGAGGCAGCTCTCGGGGCGGATGCTCCCTGCTGTCTTCGTCTTTGTGTCTTTCTGTGCCTGTGTCCCTGTCCTGACCCATCTCTCTCAGGCTCTTGCGCTGCTGCCGTTCAGCTTTCTTACCCATGGTTCAAGGCCTTACATCTTTTCTGCCTCCTCAACCACTACCAGTTCAGGGATCTCGCTGCTCCCAAGGGAGGAGCGCAGGTTGATCGAGCTCCTCTTTCTGAGCCAACAAGCCACAGGGATTGATTGTCTTGGACTCTGGTGTCTACCTGAGGACCTATCATTTGTGGGGACAAACTGGGATGAGGGGACACAGAAGAGAGTAGGGTGTTTGTACGTGGAAAGGGGCCTTAAGGGAGGTTTGTACCATAGAGACCATGAACGATCCCTGTAGTAATCTGAACATTTTTCACATTCACTTATTGTTAGCAATTTGCATGCTAGACTGGGATGGAGTGAGTGTGAGCCCAGAGACTGGAGCAATGCTCTCATGTTGTCAGGGGACTCTTTATGGTATAGACAGACTGACTGACAGATGGGATTGTCACCACTTTAAGATTCAGGGATCAGAGATACTTTCTCATGCTGGACCAATGGGCTGGCTGAAGAAGGTTCTGGAAGCCTCCCTCCTGTCAGGCCTTTATTCAGCACTCATGCTTTAGTCCCTGAGGACTCTGTTCAGTCCCTAGTGGACACACATTGGCAAGCACTGAGGAGGTGGCGGTTGTCCATCTCACAGCCGAGGGAGGCAGCATGCACTCGCTAACAGTGGGCTCACCTCACTCTCCTGGCCTTGCACCTAGCTGGACAAGCTCAGAACCATCATTGAGAGCATGCTGACCTCCTCATCCACTCTGCTGTCCATGAGCATGGCCCCTCACAAGGCCCCAGTAACCTTGACACCTGGGCAGATTGACCCCGAGGCCACCTGCCCCGCCTGCAGCCTGGACGTGAGTCACCAGGTCAGCATGCTGGTACAACGCTACGAACAGCTCCAGGACATGGTCAACAACTTGGCAGCCTCCCGACCCTCCAAGAAAGCCAAGCTCCAGAGCCAGGTAATACCCCACACCTCCCTCCTGGGCCAGCAAGTAGGACCCCCAGGAAGAACCTCTCTGAGGCCCACAGGAGAAGTGACTGATGGGACATTTCTAGTCAGAATGTCAGTGCTCCGCCTTGGAGCCCCAGGTCCATTCATAAGGGCAGGCAGAGTTATGTCTAGGGATGTTGGGCTGGGGGTGGGGACGAGGTGGAAGTGGCTGGCTGGCATGGAGACACATCGTTTGGGACATTGGTCCTGCTGCAGGAAATACCAGCACCGCTGCACCCCATTCTTCTGGAATTATCCTAACATCCCTCCAAAGTATAAGCTGGAGTGGTGGGCAAATTCAGAGTTGGCTCAGGAAATGGGGTAAGCTGACTGTAATCCACACCCCAATTCTTGGGAGTTGGATGTAGGACATCTCATCCCTCCTGAGCTTCAAGCACCTTTGCTGGTCACTCAGGATCCTGGGGCCTGAGAGGCAGGAAGCAGAACTGTGCCAGGGCAGCGGCCTGCACAAGGTTCAGGGTCCTGTTGGGCAGACACAGAGAAAGGACAGCACAGACTTCTCCATGGTCAGCAGGAAACTGTGAAGGTCACCGATGAAAGCCAGGATGGGGCCTGAAGTCAGCTCGTCTGTGGGTGGTGGTACAAGGGTTGACTCATCACAGAGATAGCCAGGGCTGGAGTAGCCCAGAGCCTCAGAGAAGCTTCCTGTGTTCCTCCTGCTCAGGACGAGGAGCTGCTAGGCCAGGTGCAGAGCGCCATCCTGCAGGTGCAGGGAGATTGTGAGAAACTCAACATTACCACCAGCAACCTCATCGAGGACCATCGACAGAAACAGAAGGACATCAAAGTGAGGGGCCAGCAGGGGACGGGGAGGGCTGAGACCCTGCTCTACCTGGCCAGGCCCTTGCCCCCCAGCCCATCCTTTCCCCCTCTTTATTGTCTGTATTTGCTTCTCCCAGGTGTTGTACCAGGGTCTAGAGAAGCTTGAGAAGGAGAAGGCCAACAGGGAACACCTGGAAATGGAGATCGACGTGGTAGGCCAGACCCCTGAGGGCCACCTGGGTCCCAAGGATGATCTCACTGGGTTGTTTTTGTTTTTGTTTTTTGGAGGGGTTAAATTATGGTCAACTACATCACTAAGAGTCTTGGTGTGGTGCTGGACCGCAAGATCGGTTTGAACCATAAGGTTGGCGGTTCAAACTCACCAGCCACTCCGTGGAATCCCTATACAGGGTCGCTGTGAGTTGGAACTGACTCAATGACACGAACAACAACGCATTGCCAAAACTGTGCTGCTTCTCCCAGTCCTAAAGGAGCTCTGGTAGCGTAGTGGTTACAAGTCGGGCTGCCAATCTCAAGGTCAGCAGTTCAAAACTACCAGCGGTTCCACAGGAGAAAGATGAGGTGGTCTGCTCCCATAAAGATTTACAGCCTTGGAAACCCTGTGTAGGGTCACTATGAGTCGGAGCTGACTCCATGGTACTCAACAACAACAACAACTAGTCCTAAGTGTACAATTCCATGACTTTAATCACATTCACCACTACCACTATCCATTTCCAGAAATATTTTCATCACCCCAAACAGAAACCCAGTGCCCTTTAGCATTAATTCCCCACTCCCCTCCCCCTCCTCTGGTTACCTTGTGTCTCTATGTATTCCCTATTCTAAAGAGTTCTCATACGTGGGATCACACCGTATTTGTCCTTTCTAGTTTGACATAGCTCCGCACGATAAGCACTGGACTACGAACCACAATGTCCCCAGTTTGAGCCTGCCAGCCACTCCTTGGCAGAAAGATGAGATGTTTTGTTCCCTGGAAAGATTTACAAAGCCTCAGAAACCCAATACAGGATCACTTAACTACAACAATTTCACTGAGCATGTTTCCAAGGTCTATCCATATGGTAGCATACATCAGAACTTCTGCCTTTCTTATGGTGGCATATTGATGCTTTTGAGTTATGGTGTTGGAGGAGAATATTGAAAGTGCCATGGGCTGTCAAAAGAACCAACAGATCTGTGTTGGAAGAAGTGCAGCCAGAGTGCTCCTTGGAGGCCAGGATGGCTAGAGTTCGTCTCTCATACTTCGGACATATTGTCAGGAGGGATCAGTTGCCGGAGAAGGATATCGTGTTTGGTTGGGTGGAGCATTGAAGAAAAAGAGGAAGACTCCCAACGAGATGGATTGGCCAAGTGGCAGCATGGATGGACTCAAGCATGGCAACAATAGTGAGGTTGGTCCAGGATCGGACACTGTTTCGTTCTGTTGTGCATAGGGTTGCTATGAGTCGGTACAGACTCGATGGCACCTAACAACAACAACAACAATATTCCATTGAATGGACAGACCACATTCCAATTACCCATTCATGTGTTGATGGACAGCAGGGGTGTTTCTGCTTCTTGGCCTTTGAAGGATGAACAATGCAACTGTCATCTGTTTGGATCCAGGCTTTCAAGCATTTTGAATAAGTGCCTAGGAATGGAATTGACAAGTGAAGTGGTCATTTATAGGCAGTCCTGGTGGTCCAACAGAGTGAACTGCAAGGTTGGCGATGGACAGCCTAGAGAAGACTGTGGGGCCCGTTCTGCTGTCACACAAAGTCACTGTGAGTCACACATCAACTCAATGACACCTATCAACAGTAACAGGATCATTTCACATTCAACTTTGTAAGGAACCTCCAAACTTTCCCACGGTGGCTACACTATTTTACATTCCCACCAGGTGCCAATTTCTCTATATCCTCACCAAATTTATTTTCCATTCTTCTGATAAGAAGTACCCAACTGGGTGTGAAATATCACTGGTTCTTTTTTCATAAAGGTGCCCTGGTGGCACAGTAGTTAAAGCACTCGGCTGCTAGCCAAAAGTTCGATGGTTTGAACCCAGCAGCTGTTCTGCCGGAGAATTATGAGGTCATCTGCTTCTGTAAGGATTTACAGCCTTGGAAACCCTGTGGGACAGTTCTTTGTCCTACAAAGTTGCTACGAATCAGAACCGACTCCATGACAGTAGGAACTGTTGAAACACAGACCTTGGGAAACATGGGCTCATGGGAAGGAACCTCCTCAGTGTTGGGGGCTGACCCTTCAGGCTGCAGTACCTCCTGACTCTGCTCCCATGGGGGCCTTCTCCTTTGTCCTCAACAGAAAGCTGACAAGAGTGCCCTGGCAGGCAAAGTGAGTCGCGCCCAGTTCGACGCCACCACAGAGCAGCTGAACCACATGATGCAAGAGCTCGTGGCCAAGATGAGCGGGCAAGAGCAGGACTGGCAGAAAATGCTGGACAGGCTCCTGGTGGAGATGGACAGCAAGGTGAGGCAAGGTCTCCGCCAGGGTAGGGGCGCCCACCATTGCCATACTCCTGCCCAGGGACAGCACCACCTCCTTCAGGGCCAGGCGCCCCCACTTGCTTCCTTAGTCCACGCTCCCCTGCTCCCCCACCCTCACAGCTGGACCGCCTGGAGCTGGACCCAGTGAAGCAGCTTCTGGAAGATCGCTGGAAATCCCTTCGGCAGCAGCTCAAAGAGCGCTCTCCGCTCTACCAGGCCGACGAGGCAGCCGCCATGCGGAGGTGAGACGGATGATGACACAAGGCAGGTGATGGGTTGAGGTGGGGTTCCCCCCAGATGAACAGCATCGGGGTTAGGAGGACAGAATTTCAGAGCATGGCAAGGTCTTCTAGTTCCCACCACTTCATGCCAGGAAGGAGAAAAAGGCTGATGGGATGGGCACAGAGGCGTCAGTCTCTCTGGGAAGCAATGGGATTCACTGGCCAGCCTCTGAGGACCCTGACCCAAGGCAAGCTTGTTCCTGGGACTTCCTGCCTTGGTCACCTAAAGGGGCCTCCTAGACTCACACAGGCCCCCTTGGGAACCCCTGAGAATCCTGCTGACTTTGTGTCTGTTCAGGTAGGGGTAGGATGTGCCTGAACGTGGGCAGGTGGAGGTGGAGGGGCAGGTGGGCTTCTGGGACCAGGCCCACATCTCTCTGTCTCCTGGAACCCACCACCTAGAAGTCCTCCTGTCCTCCATCCCAGACCCTCCTGTCAGGTGCTCACCTGGCACGCACTCCATTCCAACAGGCAGCTCTTGGCACATTTCCACTGCCTCTCATGTGACCGCCCCTTGGAGACACCTGTGACGGGACAGTGAGTACCCATAGCTGGCTGCCCTGACTCCTCCGTAGGGACTAGCTGGTCGCTGTGGTGGGAAGGGCCCAGCAGGCTTCATCTCCTCCACCCCTGCTCACCCCGACTCTTCTCTCCCCCTCTTCTCTGGGGTTAACCTCACTGCTTCCACACTGGCCCTCCCAGGCAGTTCTATCCCCGTGGGAATGGAGACTAGGGGCTTACCAGGTTTCCCATGCTCGGACTCACTACCTCTCTCTGTCCCTGCCCAGAAGCATCCCGGTGACGCCTGTAGGTCCAGGCCTGCCCGGGCACCGGTCCACCCGGCCCTATACCATCTTTGAACTGGAGCAGGTCCGGCAGCAGAGCCGCAAGTATGGACCGTGGAGGGCGTCCTGGGCAGCGGTGGCTGGGGAAGGCGGACAGAGGCCTTTCCAAGGGTCTATAGTTCTGGGGAGCAGTGCTGAGCCCCCCTGGCACTTCTCAGGGCTTCCCAAGTGCCAGGAGGGAGAAGGAAGAGTTCATAATTACCTTTCTTTCGGGTCCTGTTTGGGAGGTATGGAAGGAGTCCTGTGGCACAGTGGTTAAGAACTCAGCTGCTAACTGAAAGGTCAGTGGTTCAAACCCAGCAGGCTCTCTGAGGGAGAAAGCAGCGGCACTCTGATTTTGTAGACACGGCAGCCTTACAATCCCATGGGGCCGTTCTACTCTGGACCTTGAGTCCTTGCGTTGGAATTGCCTCAGTGGATTTTGGGGTGTTAGGGTGAGAGCAGGCTGCCTTGGACAGCTCTCTGCCTTCGTCAGCTGCCTTGGCCTACCTGGGACCAGAGGAGAAGGGGGCCTGGGACACCCAGCTGGAGCCACAATCAGCCAAGGGAGGGCTGGCCAGGCAGTGGGCCCCACTAGCTGCTGTGCCCACCTCTTCAGAATGGGACTCGGCTGTAAAGATGGGTTTGCAGACTAGGTTTTGGTGCCCCAGGAGCTCTAGGGATGGGGGCTTGGCAGCAGTGATAGTGGCAGGGAGAGGTGAGTGGCCGACTTTTAGCTCCTGACATGAACTAGAACATTCTCCTTGGCTTGTCCACACTTTCCCACCTGAAGAAAACCCTCCCTGCTTAAGGCCCTTGCCTCAGGGGGGCTACGTCTGAGGGGGCCCTCTGCAAGCCCCACTGCCCTTCTGCTCTGCCCACGCCCACAGCCAAAAGCTGGGCAGCGCCTTCCCCCGCGGTGACCTGGGGCTGATGGAGCGGAGCGTGGGTCGCCTGCACACGATGCACTCCAAGATGCTCATGGACATCGAGAAGGTGCAGATCCACTTCGGCGGCTCGGTCAAGGCCAGCAGCCAGATGATCCGCGAGCTGCTTCACGCCCAGTGCCTCAGCTCCCCCTGCTACAAGCGGTAGGAGGGCCAGGAGGGCCTGCGATGGTGCCCACCCCACCGCCAGAGAGAGGGAGGGCGTGTGCGTGTGAGGTGTGTTCCCAAGCCTATGGGTGTATGCGAGACCAAGTGTGTGAGACTTGTGTGTGTGTGCGAGAGACTGCATGACAGACTGTGAGACTGTGTGTGGAAGAGACTGAGTGTGTGTGAAAGACAGGGTGAGACTGAGTGTGCAAGACTGTGAGTGTGTGTGTGCAAGCGACTGTGTGAGAAAGACTGTATACGAGACTTGTGAGTGTGTGCGAGAGACTGAGTGTGTGAGACAGAACGGGGGGAAGACTGTGTGTCTGGGGGAGGGACTGACTGTGTATGTGAGACTAAATGTGCAAGAGACTGTGTGTGGATGTGAGATTGTGTGTTATGAAACTGCAAGAGAGACAGACTGTGTGTGGAAGAGACTTGTGAGTGTGTGCAGCTGCGTGAGACTGAGTGTGTGCAAGAGACTTGGGGAGAGACATGTGAGTATGTGTGTGTGCAAACGACTGAGTGTGTGTGGTAGACACTTGTGTAGGAGAAACTGTGCACGAGAAACTGTGTTCAAGAGACTTTGAATGTGTGTGATTGTGTGTGAGACTGAGATTTCATGTGTGTGTTCCTGGTGTGAGTGTGTGTACCATGTGTGAGTGTACCATCTGTGCACCTGTACCATGTGTGCCGTGTGTGTACCATGTGTGTACCATGTGTGCACCATGTGTGTGTGCACGCCTGCGTGTGTTTCCCTCAGAATGACTCAAGTTTGCGGTTGCTCTGTTCTCTCACCAGCCTGCTCCGGCCCTCGCTCCCAGAGCCCCTGAAGAGAGATGCGCCCTTCCCTCTGGTATGTCCCAGACCATGTCCCTGGTGGCCTGCTCCAAGTGACTCCGTCGTATTCCTCACAGGGTGCCGGACCTGGCCGACTACACCTACTCATCCATGCCAAGGCGCTGCGGAGGCAGCCACACCCTCACCTACCCCTACCGCCGCAACCGTCTGCAGCACCTGGCGCAGGGCCTGCTCCCCACTGAGGAGATCCAGATCGCCATGAAGGTGAGGGGCTGTCCTTGTCCCCAGAGATTCTCAAGTCATCCAGGAATAATCTTTAGAAGCCACTTCAGCAATCTGCTGCCTGTAGGCAGCCACTTAAACTGAGTCAGTTCAATCTTAGGGTCTTATCCTATGTCATGAGAAGAACCCCATCCCGGCCCCAGCACAGCCACCTCCCATCACGGGCCCTCAGAAACAGAACGCCTCCACCTCCCTTCACCTGGTACTCTGCCAGGGTGTCATCCAAAGTCCCTGGGGAGGTTCTGAGCGCCATTGGAAGTCAGGAGATGACCGTCCTCAGAGCTCCGGCCCTGCCCAGGAACGCTTTGGGGGCTGCAGTGGCCGTGGCTGTGTACCCTATTTTCCACAGCATGACGAGGTGGACATCTTGGGTCTCGATGGACACATCTACAAGGGACGGATGGATACCAGGCTGCCAGGCATTCTGACCAAAGACAGTGAGTGTCCAGTAGCGTGGGTCCCACAGTGTCTGTCCATATCGTGGCAGGCCAGGCACTTCTTTGGGCCACTGGACTCTTTTCTGCTTCCCTGATTCCCAACTTCCAAGTCTCCACAAGTAACCAGGTCAATGTTTGCAGGTGAAGGACAGCTATCCAGCCTCATCAATTAGCTGGGATGTCATGGGCCCCCTATTTTCATGTTGGTTTTACAACTTTACGCCATTCTGCCTCAGCCTGGTTCACAGATCACAGCAGCTAAACCCTATCATGTTTTCAAAACTCAGCAAGATGCTCTCTTCTGAGCCCTCACCACTTAGGGATCGCACATCCCCTGTAGGTTTATTGTTAGGCATCCACAGCTGAAGAGTTCTGCTTCTCACCTCCGCCCTTCCCCCCGCCCCCAAACACACACCTTGTTATGTGATGTGCCTCTCTAGTTGTCTCCCCTGTGCAGCTGCAAACCTGGGGTCAACTCAGCCAGCACCCAGCACTGGGCTGATATCCTCAGAGCATGTCTGAATGAATGAATGAATGGCTGGATGATAGCTGGCTGCCTGTCCAGCTAGGCAGGCAGATGACTAGATGGAATGCTGCTTGGGTGGATGGGCAGCTAACTACTATATGGTTGGATAGATGAAAGGATGGACAGATGATGGATGGATGAATGGATAGATGGATGGATGGACAGATGATGGTTGGATGGATGGACAGATGATGGATGGATGGATGGATGGATGGACAGATGGATGGATGGATAGACAGATGATGGTTGGATGGATGGACAGATGATGGATGGATGGACGGACAGATGATGGTTGGATGGATGGACAGATGATGGATGAATGGATGGACAGATGATGGTTGGATGGATGGACAGATGATGGATGGATGGATGGATGGATGATGGTTGAATGGATGGATGGAGGACAGATGATGGTTGGTTGGATGGATGGATGGACAGATGATGGTTGGAAGCATGGATGGATGGATGGACAGATGAAGGTTGGTTGGATGGATGGATGGGTGGACAGATGATGGTTGGATGGATGGATTGATTGATGGATGGGCACAAACCAGATGCATTAGCAGACAGATGAATGGGTGATTAGATGGGTGGATGGACAAGTGAATAAATGAAGTGCTTTGAATGAAGAAGGGACCTGGAGCCCATCCTCATGGGCCCCTGCAGAGTTCTCTTCTGGTGCCTCTCAGTGCTGTTCCTTTCCTCCCACTGTCCCCCTTTCAGCTCCAGGGGTTGCAAAGCACAAGTCCAAGCAGTCCCGGGTCCACGTGCACCGACAGCAGTCCGTGGTCAACCATGGCCAGCTGCCTTCTCGGCCTCAGAGTGCTCAGACGATGGCTGGCAACACCTCAGGTATCTGTCCTGTGGGTGGACCGTCCTTCTAGGCAGCCTCTTCTCGTTGCTCTGCCAGCCCTCTTTCCTGCTCACAGCTGGTTTATACCTTTATTTCCTGGAGAGAGGAATGGCGTGGAAGATGAAGAGTGATGGAGAAAAGGGAGAAAGCTCATAGTCACTAAGTGTCTGTTGGGTAGACACTATTACTGTCACTATTCCACAGGAAGGAAAATAGGGGCCACGTGGCAACCTGAGTCTCTGGCTCCAGGCCCAAGTCCTCCTCCTGCTCAGATGCACTGTCTCTCCCACAACTCCCAAGAACTCCTCAGTCTGACCCTATTTTGGGACGGCTTCCCTTCTGCCCCCAGGCTTAGAAGACCCTTAGAATCCCTGTTCTCATCTGAGGAACAAAATCATACCTGGAAGACAAGGATCCTAAGGGCTCACAGGGTTTAGCCACACAAGGACCTGGAGATGTTGTAGGATGTGGAGGCGGGAGAGCAGCGCAGGTCCTGAGCCAGCCAGCAGGCTCATTCTCTCATCCAGAGATTCTGAGCAAGTCTCTCCCCTCTCCATGCAGTTCCCTCATCTGTCCACAAGGGGTCACTAGATCAAGGCTTCTCAGAGTTAGGCCAATCTTGAGACTCTCTGAAAGCCACCAACCTCCAAGTAGCCACACTTCACCAAAGCTTTAGGAGGCTCAAGGGTCCCCTGAGCCCACATACAACCCTCCCAACTTCAGCACCCCAGCTCTGTGCTTCCCAGATCCTACACTGGGCGTCTGTGGCTGAGGGGCAGAGGACGCCTCTTCATTGGCCATACACTGTTTTAGGAGTTTTACACATATGGACACGTTTTAAACCCTCACACCAACACAAAAAGGTAGGAACCATTGTTAGTCCCATTTATAACTGAGAAACCAGAAGTATAGAGAGGTTAAGGCACTTGCCCAAGATCACAGAGCTAGGAAGTGGCAGAGCTGGGATTGGAAGCCAGGCTGTCTAGTCCCTGGCTTCTGAGGCATGGTAACTGAGGCACAACTGGCCCCAAGGGCAGCTTGGATGGAGGGAGCTGAAGGTGGTTTATGCTTCTGGTTCCCAGGACTCTTATCTTCTTGGGGTACATAGCTCCCTTCTGCCCGGCTTCACTGTCTACTCCAAGGGCACCTAAAATGTTACGGAGCAGGGAAATGGGAGAGGTAATCTTAGCAGAAATGGCTATGAATGAGTCTCGTGTGTGATGCAAATGGTGAACTGAGAGGTTGGAGGTTCAAATCCACCCAGAGGCACCTCAGAAAAAAGGTTGGGGTTCTACTTCCCCCAAACCCCCAACCATTGAAAACCCAATGCAGCAGTTTCACTTGAACACACTTGGGGGGGGGGGGTTCACCATAAGTTGGACTCAATTCAAAACGATTGTTTCTCAACCTGTTTGACCGTTCCCTTAAATTCATACCTGTATTCATGGAGGCTACATCAGCAATGAGGCCGACTCTTGCTCCAGAAGGGGGCTTTCTTATTTAACTCACAAAGATTTTAAGGGTCTTCATCATGCTGATACTGATATACCTGAGGCCACTCCCCTCTCAGCCTAATGCCCCAGTTCAGCCCAGTCTCCCTGGCAAGCTTGGGATGAACAGCCAGTGGGCCAAGTGGGGGTGTGAGGTGTGAAGTGGGAGTAACCTCAGCTTTTCTCTTCCAGCCCCTTCCCGTCAGCGGAAAGGCAGACCCGTTTCCTCAGAGGGCCGCTTCTCCCAGTCAAACCTGGTACATCCACTCAGCCCTACGGAGACAGAGCCAGCAAACCTGCCAGCAGGCAGCTCCCTGGGGTTGGAGATGCCCATGAACATGCCTTCTCAGGAGGGGGTCGAGGAGCCAACCCGGGGGCCTCGGTCCACAACTGCTCACTAAGTAGAGCTATCAATAAACATTTAGGAAGATGCTGGGGTTTAGGGAACTCTGATAGAAATGGAGAGGGAGGGATTGAGGGACAGAGGTGTCCACTACTGGTCAGGAGCCTCCGGACACTTCCAGAGCTGCCCCAGGCCCCAGCAGCAGACCTCCTCTCACAAGGAGGAACAGAAGTCCCACAGAACAGATGGGAGTCGTTCTCCAAGGGTGGTGCCTCGCTCTGGGGACAGGTTTGTCTTGACGTGTATGGAGCTTGGCCTCCCACCCACCAGCTCCCTCCTGACCTGGGCTAGTCCAGGGCGCTGCCACCTTCCCTGGCTCAGACCCTGCACTTTGGGCAGGGAAGAACCTTCGGAGCAGTGCTCAAGTTGTACCTTGGTTTGCAGATGAAGGTGGCCGCTGTCTGCTGCCCTCCCACTCACTGGTGGCTCAGGGCAGGTCCCAGTGCCTGGCATACAGCCCATGGGAGCAAGGCCACCAGCCAGAAGCAGAAGCCAACTGGGAAGGGTGTTTGCTGTTCTTATCATCTGTAAGAGGCGGCTCCCGAGAGACAGCTGAGCCTGAAATGCACCCCCATGTCTTTGGCTGCCCTGGCAGAAGGGGTAGACCCAGGGCTGCCATGCTAATGCCCCGTTTCCCACTCCCTCTTCTCCCCCAGAAGAGACAAAGGAGAGGTGTACATGCAGGGAGTGGGGTGGAAGGGAGCGCTCTACACACTGGCTGCCCAGAACCACACCTCTAAAACCTGCTGGCAAGAGGTAAAGGTCCTAAAGCTGGGAGGGGACAGAGCCCCCCAGGAGAGACTGAGCTCAGGCAGATGCAGTGTCTTATAGGGACCAGTGCCCCCCCAAAGCTGCTGAACCCCAACAGTACTGGACATGGCCATTCCCTCCACCCCCTGCTGCTTCAACTAGAATTCTAGGTCGTCTCTAGCCAGTAAGGGCCGCCCCTCACCCTAGAGCCCGTAAATCCCTAACATCAATGCCTTCAGCTCTGTTCCCATGGCTCAGAAGTAGCCCAAATCAAAGGTGGGGCTCCCCCCACCCACATCACCTGTGACAGGAAAGTGAAGCTGGGGGCCAGAGACCTGCTTTAGGGTGTGAGGCAAAGGGGCGGTGCCACACAGGAAGGACAGGAATAGACCAGAAAGGGGGTTTTCCTCCTCACTCCCTGCAGGCAAGAAGGTGACTTAATAGGCTGTATTGTGTGGGTGGGTGGGTGTCCCCCGGACATGTAGAACGGGGCTGATTTTTAGGCATTGCTTTTGGTTAGGTTGAAGAGAGGCACAGTTCAAACAAGTCCACTTCCCAGGCCCTTCCCCTCGCCCTTCCTGATTCGAGGCAGGACCAGCCCACCAGCACACCATCTCCTCTACCCTGTGCCTGCTCTGGGCTCCATTTCTGTCTGTCAGTCCTCACCTCTGCCTGTGAAATGTCAGGTCAGCCAGCTCAGTACCCCTGTTCTGGAGTCCAAATTCACCTGCTTGGCAGGGAGACCAGCCAGGCCTCCACACCCAAGCCTTCCCTGACGCCTCCAGCAGCCTGGGGCAACCCCCCAATTCCCACACTAGGGCACACCACCACACCTTCACCCAGACTGCACTGGGCCTGTGCCTCCCTGCTCACCACACATGGAAGCACAGGTGGGGAGGGTGTTGTGGGGCAGTGGTAGGCCTCAGCTTAGGAAACAAAACTGAAAGGACAATCCCAGCTTCAAAAGAGGCGGATGGGCCCCAAGCCGAGGGGAGACTAGGGCAGCTGGGCTCAGCGTTCTGCTCCACAAGAGGTGGGGTTGCCCCAGATCTGAGCAGAGCCTGGGCCTTCCTAGGTTTCACTTCGGGTCCAAACTCCCAGCCCTCCCATCCCCATCTGTATCTTAGACCTAGGGAGACGGTAAAGCCCTCTTAATCTGGCTTGGGCTCAGGGAGGAACCCCACTTACAAGTGGGTCACCTATTCCCACTACAGGCGAACACAATCCTCCCCAGCCCCCTGACCACTCCCCAAAGAAGTTGGGAGGGGCTGTTGGGCAAGTTGACATGGCCACTTAAATTCTAATTCCTGGGTGGGGGGAAGGGTAATGTATCAAGTCCCTTGGGGACCGGCCCCATCCCTACAGCTTCCTGACTGTCCTTTGGTTTATGCCCATACACTATCCAACCGGAGACACCACCCCAAAGCTGAGGGCATGGCAGCACAGCTGGGAGATGCCTGGGAGGGCCAGGTTGGGGTAGGGTGAGGCTGCCCTCAGGAGCCCACCAGCGGGACAGGCCCAATACAGGTGAAGAAATGGCTTCAGGGGCAGAGACCAAAGGCCCAGAAGGTCCCCTTCTCCCCTGGTGGGTTAAGTACTGGCTGCAGAAACAAGGTGCAGATAAGAGTAAGCGAGTCAGGACCTGGCTTCCTCCCATTCCCACACCTGACCTCAGTCCTGTCTAGACCATCAACCCCTGGGCCGGACACTGGCTCCCAGTCAGCAACGCCCATAGATTCTCACCAGAAAACGGGGCAGCTGAGTGACTCCACCCTCCAAGGTGACCAACGTAATAAGTAAAAGTGCCATAAACCAGGGAAATTAAAACAAGGCTCTCTCCTGTTTTTAAATGAAAATTTCACCCTGATTTGAGAATGAAACTCCTAAGATGGGCTCTCCGCGGGGTCCACCTCTTCAAACCTAGGATGGATGATGAGCAAGGCATAGTGTACCCATTCGACAACTGGGGTATGGGGCAGCCATGTTCCCAGCTAGGCAGAGCCTGGGCTTTGGTTTCAAACCAGCTCCTCAGTCCCATATCCTGCCTCTGGCACTCAGTCCAGAGACGTGGGTCGTGCTGTGGAGCCACTTACGAGTCCCATCAGTACCTGGGGCCGGGGAAAGGGAGATGGCAAGGATCCTGGGTCCAGTAACTCCAGGGCTGCAGTTGGAAGGAACCAAAGGACGGCAAAGGAGACCTCTACACTTAGGGGGAGCCTCTCCTACAGCTACTACTAAAGCCTTCTCTTCTTCAGGTGTGAGACTTTTACCCAAGGTGGCTTTGAAGCAGCTGCTAAGGTTGGGTGCAGAGGATTTGCCCAGCCCCTCCCTTCTGGTCCCAACACCCCAGGTCTGCCAGCCCCACGCTCACATACATTATATTCATATATTTATATATATTATACATATTAAAAAGAGAAAAAAAAAAAAAAAAAACTTGCCTTAAGATAAATTCCTCAAGGACCCAAGAGGCTCAGGAAGTTTACTGCCCCACCCCCGCCCCACAAAAATTCTTCTATAAAATCTTCCAGTGCGATCGATCTTCAGGAAACCCCCCTCCCGCCCTAGCTCCCTCCTCCCTGGCTACCCCTCAGTGGCCCCGGGCCTGGGCAACCCCAGTGCCCGCCTGGCAGCACCAAGTCTCATCTCTGGCCATCCAGGGCTGCCAGGGCTTTCTGGGGGGCACCCCCCTGCTGTGCTCCAGGGGGCCACGTGGGCTGTGGGTGGTGGAGGTGATGGAAGCTGTGGGCCGTCGGGGAGGAGGGTGGGATCCAGGCCACCTGGTGGCTGGGAGGAGACGAGGCCCAGAAGGGGCTGAAGTTTGCAGGAGGGGAGCAGGCCACCGCGGTCATTGGGCTATTGTTGCTCTGCAGGTTCTCAGAGGTTCGAAGCTTGGAGAACATGGCCAGGGCGTCGGGGAAGTTAGGTGGCGTGGCAGGTGTGTTGCTCGGAGTGCACATCTAAGGGGAGAGAACACAGGAATTGGAAGGCTGCTCACTCCTCGGTTCCACACCTACCTGCTGGGCCCTCATGGATCCTGTCTTGACTCTTGTCCACAGGAAGCTTCCGTAAGACAAAAGTAGCACACACACACACACACCCCCACCGTTTCATACCCCCGGCCAACCGAGACAAAAATGTTGCTGTCATCAAGTGCTGTTGAGTCAGTTCCGACCCATAGCGACCCTGTATAGTGTTTCCGAGGAGCAGCTAGTGAGCTTGAACTGCCGACGTCGCAGTTCAAATGACTTTGCAGTCCAGTGCATTGGTCCACAGTGCTACACCTGGACTCCCAACACAAAATAAGCCCCCCTTCAGGAAAAATACAAAACAGTAATGGCAGTCCGACTGATTACTACAATAACAAGCAAGTTGCTCACCCAGGAGACATCAAGGCAAGTGGTCAGATCCCCTCAGGGCAAACTCCCTTCCAACACTAAGATTCAATGGGAATACATGCTCTGATTGGTGACCACGTCCGTCACTGATAAGGGGAAGTGACGGAAAAACAGCAATGAAGTTGCAAGCTAAGCCCTACAATGTTCAATAGACCCCTGTGAACCCAGGTGGAGACCTGGTTGGCCAGCAGTGTGGCAAGACCTGGGGACTCCTGGGCCCAGAGTCAGCGACATAGCCACAGAGGACTAGAGTGGAGAGTGAAGCGTCTAGCTCATAAGAGAGGGCATATGCACTAGAATACCCACACTTGCAGATAATACCCACTTGACCTGGCTTCAATGACTGGATGATCAGAGCTCAACTAGAAAAAGAAAGAAGAGGAAAAAAAGAGTAATCTGATACAATTTGATGAACTTGACCTACACCTATGGATGCAGTAGCTCAAAAAGGGAACAAATCTTTACAACAAGGATCATTCCCACCCCTACCATAAACAGACTAGACAGGGATGGGCAACTTGGACATTGGCTACCCAAAATGGGGGGGGGGCTACAAAGACATGAAGTGACTGGCTTACAAGTTTTCAAGAAAGAACCTAGATCCCGAGGGTGTGGAGGAAGGTAGAATCTCCACTGAGTAGTATCCAATCTTTCTGGGTGGGACTGATGAAAGGAGATGGGGATAGGTCTCCTGTGGTACAATAGTGAATAATTGTGAATAATTGTTATCAGGACTGACTGTGAGGGTTGGAAATGTAAAGGTAGACATTTTGTAGCAAAAGGAGGGGAGTGACTGACTTTGCAGTCTAGGAGCGGAGATCCCTGGGACCATCAAGAGAGAAGAGTGGAG